GCGATCGACACTTGACAAATCTTTTTTCTACTTCTAATGATCGATACGAAAGACCGAACTAATTTCAGAAACCCCCGGCCCAAACTATATATGCGTAATTGAAACATGACCATTACTAGAAAAACCTAAATACATAAGAACACATCACATTAATTGTCCAAAAAAACAAATAACCAAAACTAGAGCACAAATTAAACGACCCACCACAAGATAACTGATTCAATACTTATCCTTGTCCTTCTCCTCCCCCACGCGCCGCCTCATATCCACCACGTCTTCATCCATAACCTTCTCCTTTCCCGCCTCCTCTTCCTCCTCCGACTTCCCCACAACCGTCTCCTTTATTTTCCTCACCGTCTCCTTCGCCGTGTCTGCCACCTTCTCCGCTATCCCTTTAGTCGTCTCCTTCGCTTCGTGGGCCTTCTCCTTCGTCGACTCCTTCGCCTCGTAGGCCCGCTCCTTGGCCCGCTCTGCCATCTTCCCAGCGCTGTCCGCAGCCCTGTCCTTCATCTCTTTAGCCTTGTCGGCCACTGGGCTCAGATTCTCCTTCGTCTTCTCGTTCATCTCCTTGGTTTTCTCCTTTGTTTTCTCCTTCATGGCCTCTGCTTGGCTTTTGGTCTTCTCCTTCATTTCCCGGGTTTTCTCCTTGGCCCGGTCCATCGTCTCCTTCACCTCGTCTCTCGGCTCCGAGACCGCCTCGTCGGCATCGTACGGGTTATAATCCTTCGTCTTGTCGTCCTGAAAGTTATTTTTAAGAGAGAAAATGAATGAATGAAAATGGAAATTATTGATTTGAGCATTGAAGTACCTCGGGATTGTGTCGGGAGGCCGAGGCGAAGCAAACCCTGGAGATTTTGAGGCGGAGGGGGACGGCGGCGGGTATGTGGCCGGACTTAGGGAGGCTGAGGATTGCGTTTCTGAATATGGCTGCCATGCTTTTTTTCTTCAGAAAATTTTGGATTGAATTTTGTGGAGATTTTTTTGTTTCAAGTTTTTCTTCTGAATTTTTTAACTCTTGCAGTTTTTTTTTTTTTTTTTT